CCTGAGATCAGGCAATTGTCTCACCTTGGCCTCTGAAAGTGCTAGGATTGCACACTTGAATCACCGCGATTCAGAAAGACTCCATTATTTTCCCTCTGTAGAGTGCCACTTAATCATGTCTAAATTTATACATTTCCATGATAAATAGTAAATTATGGTTATCTAGTTCCTTAAATGTTTTAACATTTTAGGCCTCAATATGACTGGGTCTTAGCTTCTGGTGATGTAGCATTTGGAAAGAAGACATGAATTACTCAGTTATCATTAACACCATCAACCACATGGGTTTTTTTGTGTGTAGGGGAGGTACATGAACAAAGTTAAACTCTAATTGCCACCACTAACACCTCCCACAAATAAAGCAGAATGTTAAAAAGGTTTTTAGTATTTTGGCAAGCCTGAGATTAATACTGCCCCTTTTTGGTAGATTTTAAATGACCAACTGCATACTAGCTACACATAACTAATACATCACATGTGATTGTGCTGCCTTCAGTGAATGTTGTTTCCGATAATGGTGTGTGATCTAGGGAGAATTACCAAGACAATAAAAATTGCAAACCATGCGCTCTTTTCTCTAGTCTTTGCACATAGTTTGGATTTCTGTGGTGATATATTTAAACCCATGAACTTTAGTTTTTGTGGGACCATTCTCATATATATCAGAACCATACAGTCTCACTTTATTTCTGTGGCAGTATTTATTGGCAATGCAAGAACCAACTGGCATCCAAGTATGTGGTTCACTTAAAACAATTGATTTCCGTGGAAACCTAACACCAGAAAAATAATAAAAAGGAGAGTTGGGACTTTGTTTCCTCAGTTGTTAAAAGATTGATTTTTTTTTAACCCCCTGGAGAAATAAACCAAAATATGTATATAAATGGTCCTGTCAACTGAGAAAACATCTCATTTTAAACTTTGGTGAAAGTGTATGCTGCTTTACAGCACATTATTTCATTGTACCTATAAAATGGAAAATAATCTTAATAGTCTAGAAACATGGAACTGTTTAACATGCAGTAGATTAAGGAGGTTGCCATGCTCTGATCTTCAATCTGGGGGAGAGCTCCACATACAGCCTTTGGAAGTGGGGGGCAGGGACTTGGTTTTAGATGTTCCAGAGTGGGGACACCTGTGTTTAGTAATGGGCTGGGGGATGTTAAACATCCTCCAATGCTTGGGGTAGTCTTCCCCAGTGGGAAATATTAGTAGGGTGATGACTAATCAAGTAACAGACACACCTGTTAACTCAAAGCAGCTCGGCCATTGATCCTTAACATGGTGTTCTTTCACCTGTTGTTTAGATCATGCATACTCCCATCTCAACCTCTGTCTAAAGATACACAAATTGTAGAGCGTGCACTATATAGGAATATGTACATGTTAAGACCAACTTGATATTTTTAACTTTAGGAGAGTTTCTTAAAGTTAGGAAATCAGAACTGAGAATTGCTCCTTTTGAAAGGGCTAGTGAACTCCTATTTCTGGTCCCAATTTTATTTATTAAGAACAACTCCTTGATCTTTAGACTTGCCATCTTTGAGGTTATGCACTATGCATCAGGAGTCCCCAAACCTTTTTGGCATCAGAGACTGGTTTTATGGAAGACAGTTTTCCCATGGGATGGATAGTTTGGTGATGATCCAAGTACATAACATTTATTGTGCACACCATTTCTGTTATTATTACATTGTAATATGTAATGAGATAATTATATAACTCACCATTTTTAGAAAAACAGAAGTGGTAAATAAAATAATGAGTGGCCATGTGTGGACTAAAATAAGTGTTGGATTCTGACTAAAGACTGCCACCAGATGCAGCTGTACAATTGAAGTTCATCAGCTCACTTGGCATTCACTGATAGGGTTTTGATATGAGTCTGCAAGCAATTGATTTATTATGGTTTCTGTGCAGCCAAACTTCACCGCTAATGTTAATATGTATTTGCAGCTGTCCCCAGTGCTAGCATCACTGCCTCATCTTGACCTCTGATCATTAGGCATTAGATTCTCGTAAGAATAGTGCAACCTAGATCCCTTGCATGTGCAGTTCACAGTAGGGTCCGCACTCCTATGAGAATGTAATGCCGAGGCTGAGCTCAGGCGATAATGTGAGCAATGGGGAGCAGCTGTAAATACTGATGAAGCTTCCCTTGCCTCTTGCTCACCTCCTGCTGTGGGACCCGGTTCCTAACAGGCCACAGACTGGTTGAGGGCCTCTGCTGCACATCATGATTTCCCATGGGTACTGGAGTATAGATTAAAAATTTTGTGAAAAAGCACGCCAATTAAAACTTAGGAAAAGGATTTGCTTTGGAGATGTTGGCACTCAGATGAAGTTTTTTGATAGGAGACAGATTTGTCGATTTACACAGACCTTTACTTTCTACACATTACTGAGTTGTTACTGCCAACCTCAGGAAAAGTATTTTTTTTACTGGTTACTTGCTTTCTTGAAGAGTTGTGTGAGCTTTGAGACAGATTCAGAACCTTAAAATAGTTAATTCTAAATTCCCATTAATCAGCTTGCAAAATGGTTAATACTACCTTTTTAATGTTATTATTATTATTATTGTTTGGGTTTTTTTGAGTTGGAGTCTCATTCAGTTTCCCAGACTGGAGTGCAGTGGCTGCTCCCGGTCACTGCAGCCTCGATCTGCTGGGCTTCGGTGATCCTTCCGCCTCAGCCTTCCAAGTAGCTGGAACTACAGGCGCACACTACCACGCCTGGCTGATTTTTTGATTTATTGTAGAGATGAGGTCTCGCCAAGTTGCCCAGGCGGGTCTTGAACCCGCTGCTCAGGCAATTCACTCACCTTGGCCTCCCAAAGAGCGGGATTACAGGCTGAGCCACTGAGCCCAGCCTGAATTTTAATTATTAGCTTGGTTTTAGGAGATGTCATTTTCCAACTGTTCCCATGTAGAAGTGATCGAGATTGAGAATTTAGAGTCTGAAGTCTATGTGTGGACCCTGATCTTCTCCATTTTTCCTAACCAGGTAGTGGTTCAGTTTCTGAATCGGTCAACAGCAGAGAGAAAATAGCACACATACCCTGCGCCTTGCATTTGTGAGCGCCTGTCCCCTTCATCCCCTCCTCTTTGGTTTTGAGTGATATGTCATTTCTGCTTTATGTAAGTTGGAGCTGAGTCTGTTATTGGGGTGCTTGACATTGGGGCTGGTTTTCCCATTTCTAATACATGCCCTTGGAACCATAGTTGAGAGAGGCTTGTTTTATTTTGTGCTTGACAACAGCCATTTTGTGATTTAAAAAAAAATAAATTATTGCCATCAAGAAATGAAAGAAACTTAGGTTTTTATATTTTAATATGATTAAAGACTTTAAAACATGTCTCTTCTTGCTTCTCAGTAAACTTTAGTTCTTTAACTTGTGGACTTGGGATTGGGGAAAAGTTAATTAAAAAAAAAACTGGAAAATTAGCTCATGCCTGTAATGCCGGCATTTTGGGTGGTGGCAGCGAGAGGGTTTGAGACCAGGCTGGGCAACATGGTAAGACCTCGTTTCTACAATAAATTTTTAAAAATTTTCTGAGTGTGGTGCCTGTAATTCCAGGTACTTGAAAGACTGAGGTGGAAGGATGCCTGAACCCAGCAGGTCCAGGCTGTGGTGGCCATGAGCGCACACTGCACTCCAGACCGGGCAACAGAATGAGACTATGACTCAAAAAAAAAAAAAAAATCTGGAAAATGATACCTTTTCTCTAGTAGCATTATCAGTCAAAGAGACTTTAAGGCATACTGGATGTTTATCAGAAGATCTCTCATTAATCAGTCTTGAGTGTTAGGGAGAAAAATTGTTTCCTAAAGACTCAGTCTGTTTCTGAAGTAGGAAGCAACATTTGGTGAGTGCTTAATGTATATAGTAACATATGGCTGAGTGCTCCAACTTCTGTTGGCTAAATCCTGGCACAGTTCATCTGTGTACGTGCCATCCTCCTTGGCACATGCCTGTGTTAGGAAGCACCTGGAATGCTCTCTGGCTTGTACATATTTCCCACAAAAAATGGTAAGAAGCAAGAATTTTTTCATTTTAAGCATCACTGTTGCAATGTGGCTCTGATTTTTTCCTTTGGGATAGTGATATAAGGTAATCAGATTTGAGTATTTTTTGTATGCTTAGTAAATCTGGATTTTCTCAGTGATAAATTCAAAAACTGTCTTGAAATAAGTTTTTTGTTTTTTTGTTTTTTTAAACAAGCAACTCTATGGCAACATTGGAAACATTTTAAGGCCCTCCCATCATCATCACTACCTTAATTCCCTGTGGTCTTACCATTCTAATACTACTTCCATTTTCACACTTTCATCTCTTGGCTAGATATAGCTCACATATTTGCATTGATAGAGCGTTGCTTGCCATATTTTTAATTTTAGAAGCAATTTTCCCAGTTTCTGCTGTCTTCATAATTGCCATTTTAAAGTGCTGCATAAAGTGTCTTTGATCATCTCACCATTTCTCTCACTGTTTAGATGGTTTCTAATGTTGCTGTAACTCTGGTACAAACCTTTTCTTTCCTGACCATCTTGGTATAAACCACTCCCCTGGTGTCTCAAGAGCCCTGCTGCTGCCTTCCTTGTCTGTTTTAAGGGTCAACCTGCTGCTGCCTCCCTTGTCTGTTTTAAGGGTCAAGTGAGTTAGCATGTGGAAAAATATGTTAACAGTTACCAAAATATTTCTGTAGAAAAACCGCTTAGACCTAAGTGTGAATGTGCTTTATTAAAACAAAGAGGCTGCATTTGAATCCAGACTGTGCACTTGATGAAACTTTACCAGCCGTCCCACCATTGGGGGTGTGTGTGTGTGTGTGTGTGTGTGTGTGTGTGTGTGTGTGTGTGTGTGTGTGTACGTGTACACACTGTGTGAGAAGCTGACTGTTGCCACACTGCCAAATAGCTCTGAATTTATGTGGAGGGCTCAGAAGATTGTCAAGAGAGAAGAATACGCAGTTAAGCATAATTTATTTTGTTCTGTTTTTCAGATCAATGTTCGAGTTACCACCATGGATGCAGAACTGGAGTTTGCAATCCAGCCAAATACAACAGGAAAACAACTTTTTGACCAGGTTGGTATTGAAATGTGAGAACTAACCCCTCCCCCAAAAAATTGCAAAAAAAAATTTGTTTCACAGCTTTTAACTTATTGTTTAAGTGTATTACCTTGGTTGATCACTTTAGGTAATAGATGAGAAGGATCATAGTCTTAACTGCTCAGATTTTCCCAGCCAAGGAGTGACTAAAAACCATTCTTGGGCATTGTTTATACAGCTTTATGTCACAAGCCAGAAAACTTTTTCTACAAAGGGCTTGATAGTAAATATCTTAGGCTTGCAGACCACACAGTCTCTGTCATAGCTACTCCGCTCTGCCATTGTGGTATTGGCAACAGCCATTAACACATAAATGAATGAGTGTAGCTGTCTGTGTTCCAGTAGAACTAAAGGTGGACACTGACATTTTTATGGTTCCCTCTTCACCACTGCCATTAAAAGTAAGCCCATTCTTTGCCTGTGGGCTGCACAAACTGCCAGAAAACAAGATTTGACCCACAGGCTGTAGCTTGCTGTCCTTGCTTTATTCGCAGGCCTCTCCTGTAGTAAAACCAGACTAGCTCTGCTGACCTGTACAGTAGTGCTGGGCATTGCAAAGCACCAGGGAGGTATCCGTCAGATACCTTGTACTATTCCAAACTGTCACAAGCTCTGTGATCTCTTTCTTGTTTCTTTTTTGATATTCAACAGTGTTTTCTGTTGTCTTTATACAAAACACTAGATATGTAGTTCTAATAGGCCACTCTCACTGAAGAGTGCTCATTTTTGTTAAGAAGTTTTTCCAACATGTTTTAAATGACTTCTTCAAATGGAAATGTGTAGAGCCACCAGATATCACCTTGCAGTTTGTCTTAGAGAATGCAGTCATCTTCCCTTCCCCTCTTGCTCTTGTTCCCTTGTCAGACTTTGTGAACTCAGTGGACCAGAGATGCCCTTGTTGTGCTATGCTAGCCAGTAACTCGGGTCACTGGAAGGCCCGGCCACTTCACCCCTTATCTTGGTGAGCTCACTCAGATATTAGCAGAGATGCTTCCTTGAGATTGACAAATGCCTCCTTGTTGCTGTGTATGTCCTTATGAGACAGAATGTGAATAGCAGAACTTTAATAAGGCAGTGAACCACACAAAGGCTATGGTCACTTTGCCACGGAATAGTTCCAGGCTTTAGAGAGAGTAGCAGGATATGCTTTCCCAAGCTTAGTAGATTCTGCTCTGGGACCAGTAGGAGAACAGGGCGACCTGAGAGTTACAAATTGTTTGAACCCTATCCTCTTTTCCTTAGAGGCCTCCTGGTAGAAGTGATATTCTGTGTTCTAGCACCAAACCTGGAAATTTGAGTGGGTGGTGATTGGGAAACCTGGGAGGTAGAATTTTGGCACACTTAAAGACTACAGGTGACTCCACCCATGCTTGATTATATCTCTGTCTTGCCCTGAGAGAGAGCACCCAGCAGCACTGGGCCAGCTCTGCAGCAAAGTGCATGGGTGCCAGGAAGTGCCAGGCCAGTGCCTTCGGGTGGGTGTAGCACGTGTGGTTGCTCATTGTGACGGCCTCCACTATTGCTTTGAGGTCATTCTCTGGGCCTGCCTCACCCAGTAAGGATAAAGATATTTACTGCTCTGGGTGAGGCTGGGCATAGGGTAAACACCTAAAGATTTCTCTGGAAAGGTAATCCTGAAGTCAGTTGCATGGAGCCAGCTGAGCCCTATGTGGCACGCTGGGGCAGCCCTGCCTTCCAGTGTGGCTTCTGCCTCCAGCCAGCAGATCCCTTGGTCACCCTTCTGGGTACCAGAACTAGACCTGTAAATGTGTGATGGGACCTTCTCAAGCAAAAAGAAATCTAAGGTGGGGATGGAAACTCTAGAACAAGTGGCAAAGCTTGATCATCGCAGCCCTCCCGCTGTGGGGAGCCCTGGAGTGCCGCTGCTCTGCCTGCCGGGACCGAGTCCAGGGCTTTGGTGTGATGAGGGCATCACAGGGCCACCTGCTGGACTGGACTGCATATAGGCATACTGATAGAGCCTGGTGGGGCTCACCCATGCCTGCAGCTCTCAGGGTCGGGGATGGAGCTGCTCTGTGCCTCTTGCTTCCATCATCACAAAGGCTTTTTCAGCTGTTACCTGGGGCTGAGTGGACATAGGCCTACCTTTTCTAAAAATCTGCCATGTGAAATACCACTGAGGTAGAGATGAAGGAATAGCCCCCACACTTGTTGAGGCCTTCTTCCATGGTGCATCAGTGTTAGGTTAAACCAAGGCCAATAAAGGCAATGGTGAGGGGCATTTTTCTAGGAATGTTGGACTTTTCCTTGTAGGGAACATGTGTAGTTGGCTTTTAGAATGGACAGAAGAAAGGAACGCTGTTTCATTCGAACGTGTCATTTTGGGAAGCCATAGTGAGAAGAGCAGGATTCCGCAACTGACACTGAGCACAGTTATGCTAGGAGTGTGCCAGTTCCTACAATGAAGGCATCAGCAGCTGAGGGCAGCTATAGGATGGTTCTGAGAGAATGGGGGTCGTGGCCTGACTGCATGGTGTGGTTGCGGGGTCTGTGACCTTCCCTGTTGAAGAGGATTGACCACATCATAGCAGGTGCAGAGGAAGGCTCTGAACTGTGGCCCTGAAGATCAGTGAGTTTGATCGTGATGGAAGATGGAAGTTTAGTGGACAGGAACTTATTTCCAGCTGGTTCAGAGCCAGGCTGAAGTTGCGGTTGGGTGGACGAAGTGGAAAGACTAGATTGGAGAGCAAGCAGTTGCTAGGGTGTGTGGTGTGTGGTGCTTTCTTTGAAACAACCCAGAGAAGAAGGTAAAGCAGATATTAGATCACATGACAAGATGGAGGTTTGTGAGGAACCAGAAATTGCAGGATTAGATATGGAGACCTGGTATTTGAATTTAGTTTTCTCTATACTTGACCACCATAGCAACAAAGACATGGGGTGTCACAAAAGACTTGGGTGTAAAGCACTGTGTAAAAAGTCCAAGTTCCCTTGATATCATTCCATGGTAAAGAGTCTTATTTGTGGTCTTCCCCCTTTGGGTGGGTGGAGGGAGGGGAAGGACAGTCCTTAGCATTTAATGAGCAGAGACTCATGGAGCTTTGGGAAGCATCTGGCTCCAGCAGATGAGGAAACAGGCCCAAGTGAAGAGTTGGTTTGGAATGTCAGGTTTTGCTTTAAGCAAATGTCCCATATCCCTGTCTTTTCTAGAGTGTTCAGTCTTCTTTCCCTTTAAATATGATAGAAACCATATATTTTGAAGAATGGTAGCATTTTTTTTCCAGGTTTAACATTATAAAATCATGGGATTTTAAATTTCACATCAAAGCTCTGGGCTGAGTTTTGATGATATTCTACAGGGTGGCCACAGCAAGTTCTGTTCCTGCTTTTCTGTTTCCAAGACACTTGTGAGAATAAGTAGCTTGGGACTCAGGAATGTACCTCAGAGGCTTTTTAAAATGTGAAATCCTGGCTATGACCTAGGGTTGGAATTCTACCCTTTTCTACCCTTGTTATGACAGAATTTCACGTTTCTGGAGACTAAAGATGCAATGCATAAGGCTGCACACCTTGCCGCTACCCCCCAATACCTGCCACCACCCGTTTCCTGCCTTTCCTAGGACAGCTTTTTCCCTGTTCCTTGTAAGTCAGACCCCTGAGCCAGCTGGCGGAGAGGCAGAAACAAGCAGCCGGAGGAGGCCCAGAGTTGAGTTGGTTACTTTCAACTACATTCCACGTGGGTGCACCAGATGGGCAGCAATGTACCTGTGACATGCCGTCACTGATGGGCCGTGGGCTTCCACTGTTGTGTGCTGGCCATAATGTACCCTGCTGAGTTTCACTTCAGGAGACCATCTTAGAATACAAAGGAGTAAGAGTGAGATTTTAGAAGATTTAAGGATAACCCTGAATCTGCTCAAATTTATGTTAAAAATAAGTTGTCATGGCTTTGGTGTAACACTGTTAGTAACAGGTGACTTAACACAGTGAGTTAAGACAGTGGAGAAAGGGCGGTGCTGGACCACCCGCTGGACAGCTACCACAATAGCTGCTGCCCATGTGAGTACATTTCCTGTGACAGTTTGGGCCCCCTTTTCTCTCACACAGGTGGTTAAGACTATCGGCCTCCGGGAAGTGTGGTACTTTGGCCTCCAGTATGTGGATAATAAAGGATTTCCCACCTGGCTGAAACTTGATAAGAAGGTAAGTCAGGGTTAACTATTTATAGGCTACTAATTGTTCTGCTCCATTGACATGGAAGCTGGAGCACCTTACTCTATTTTTTTGTTGTTGTTGTTCCTTTTTATTTGTGTAAAAGTTGTTTTGTTTTGTTTTTTGAGTTGGAGTCTCACTCAGTCACCCAGGCTGGAGTGCAGTGGCATACTCACGGCCACTCCAGCGTCAACCTGCTGAGCTCCAGCGATCCTTCCGTCTCAGCCTTCCAAGTAACAGAGACTACAGGCGCGCGCTTCCACGCCCGGCTAATTTTTTTGATTTATGGTAGATACGAAGTCTCCCCAAGTTGCCCAGGCTGGTCTCGAACCCATGGGCTCAGGCAATCCCCTCACCTCAGCCTCCCAAAGTGGTAGGATTACAGGCTGAGCCACCAAGCCCTGCCATGTAAAAGTTTTTACAGACAAAAAGATTGCAGGTTTCCAGGAAATGGGGACATAGTGGTTGGCAGTTAGATCCTGGCATTTCTGTTTACTGCTCACTCCATGGAGCATATTGATGGTTAATTGCTTACTTTTAGTTGGCCTGAGTTCTTTTTAATGAGCTTGTTAATCTCATAAACCATGAATCATCCACTGTTTGTAAGAACCTTTTAGTGCTTTGTTTGAGCCTGTGATTATCTTCCAACTCTAAAGATTGGATGATTCCATGAGCCAGTTATAAAGAAAAGTAGCAAGTTAAACATGTTTTCTTCAAATTTTTTGAAAATCATCCTGTTTTTCAAACCCCGACTTTCCTTCCAAGTCACCGTAACAAGTCAGAAGGGTGACTGGATGGGAAAGAGTGGAGTTCAGGACAAAGTTCTGAGATCCAGGGCCAGATTGACGTGGGGCCTGATCCCAAGATTACAGGTCACTGAGGGGTCACTTCCAAATTGGAGTTATCTGGGATTGATAGCATTGTCCCACAAGGGCTGTGGCTGTGTCGGGGACAGTAGCTTAGCTTTCCAGCTGAGTGCAAGAGTGTGATAGTAATTTTCACTGACCCTTTTTTGTCCCATATTCTAAAAAGGTGACAGCCAGAATAAATATCTTCTGAAAACTGGCCCGAGGGCCCCTTTTAAGTCCTTGATTAGCATGTGTGTGGCAAGATAGGCCTTTGTCTTCCCACTTTGTAATGAGAGTTTGGCTTCTGTAATCCAGGTGTCTGCCCAGGAGCTTAGGAAGGAGAATCCCCTCCAGTTTAAGTTCCGGGCCAAGTTCTACCCTGAAGACGTGTCTGAGGAACTCATCCAGGATATTACCCAGAAACTGTTCTTCCTGCAAGTGAAGGAAGGAATCCTTAGTGACGAGATTTACTGCCCACCTGAGACCGCAGTGCTCCTTGGGTCCTATGCTGTGCAGGCCAAGTTTGGGGACTATAACAAAGAAATGCACAAGGCTGGGTACCTCAGCTCTGAGCGGCTGATCCCTCAAAGGTGAGCACCAGGTGACCTGGGCAGGAGCAGTCATGGAGGCGGGTGGAGGTAGTTGCTTTAGAAGCGTAGTTAAAACACAAGGACTTTGAACAGTGAGTGCTCCTTTAGGCTGGGGCTCTGGTCATTTCCCGAGTGCTCTGGTCTTAGAATGTGCTGACCCAGCACAGCTTTTCATTAAGGCACTGACGAGCACCTGAAACATAGGGGAAGTTTCCCTGTGGAAACTGACAGCGACCATGTCACGTGGGGATGCCACAGCATAGTCACACTTCTTGTGATCTGACTGCTTGGCTTTTCCTGTGTGATGATTTGGCCTCTGTTAAATATTTGTTTTATTCACTAATGGTAAACTACCATTTTTGAAAGAAGAGCTCATTTAAAATACCTTTTTTAATTTCTCCAGCAGGACTAGGTTTGTCTTGTTCAAAATGCTAACAATCTTCCAGGTTAATCATAAATAGAAATGGTACACATCAGGAAGTAGAAAAAAAAGTTCTTGATTGATTTATTTGAAAGGAATGTGGGTGGAAAGTGGGCCCCATCACTCACCCCTCACAGCACTGAGGATGTCAGCGCTGTGTCTTCCTTTTGCACTCCAGAGTCATGGACCAGCACAAACTTACCAGGGACCAGTGGGAGGACCGAATCCAGGTGTGGCACGCAGAACACCGCGGGATGCTCAAGTGAGTGCTGGACCTTCTGCTTGAATCTGGGTCATTCCAGTTTGTCTTCTTTTCCTGTGACTCCAGGTAGTGCTTTCAGGAGGGCGCTGAGCTGAATTTTTTTTCTCTTAGGGGAAGGGGTTTTTTTTGTTTTTTTTTTTAAAGTCAGGTGTTCTTATAGCTTAAACCTTCAGGTCCTAAAAACTTTCCTTCTTCCTTTAGAGAAAGTCCTGTGTCTAAAACTCTTTATGTTAGTAGAAGGGGAAGCATTGTTCACCTGCAGTCAGAACATTGTTTTTCTTCTCCCTGTCAAAGAGGTGCTGGCTTGCTCATTGTTTTCAGGTAATGTCTTCAGAAGCACATGTAAATGAAAAAAAGGGTCCTAAGTCAGAATTATTAATATCAAGACATGAGGAGGGATGTGAGGAGGGACATGTGACTGCTGAGACTGTTATGTGTAGAAAATGCCAGACGTCCTGAGAGTCTGGGTGTTCTAGTCCTAGAACCCTCGCCCCAGGACTTAGTGACAGTTTGTGCATTGTCCCAGCCTCTGCAATTTGTTTGCATTTGGACCTCAAGAGACTTTGTGCTTCAGAGTCTCCTGTCTGGCCCAGGCATCCTTCATGGAGGGAAAACAACTTAAGACCTACAATGATTGTTACTAGTAAGGAAGGGCACTGGGGTCCTAGAAGACCCGTGCAGCAAAGAGAAAAAGAAAGATAGAGCCTAGCAATACAGTCTAAGGGAACAACCTTCTGTCCCCTGGGAAGCCAGTGTGAGTTAATCAGTTCTTCCAGAACATGAGGGGTGCATCAGTGGTCAGGGTCCAGAACAGCACCGAGATCCTCCCAGGTGCTACTTCCAGGCTGTTCTTGTGCCTGCTGCTCAGCTGACTTCCTGCTGCCTGGGCTCTTCCTACCTGCCTACACACGGCATAGGCACGGCAGCTAGTGATTCAAAGTACGTGGTGGCTGTCAGTCCCTCCAGTGTCTTTTGCCCTAGTTTTAAAACTTTGGTAGAGGTTTTCTGTTTGGGTGTAGAGTGCTACTGGTGATCATGCCTGTTTTGCCCTCCCCAACTAGAGACAGTGCCATGCTGGAGTATCTGAAGATAGCCCAGGACCTGGAAATGTACGGAATCAACTACTTCGAGATAAAAAATAAGAAAGGAACAGACCTTTGGCTTGGAGTCGATGCCCTTGGACTAAATATTTACGAGAAAGATGATAAGTGAGTTGAAGTTTATAATTATCTTTAGTTGGTAGGATGGCAGGCCTGGAAACAGTGACAGAAGTGGAAATCGTGTGGGATATTTGAAGTGTTTATTAGCAACTTAGGCCCAAAGTGTGTGTCTTTAAGGGCTTTTGGACTGAGATATGCCATCTCAGAGCTTGATCTGGAGGCTTGCCTTACCCTTCTTCCTGGAGGGCGGAGCCAGGAGGGGCAGGGACCTCCCCTACTCCAAGACCTGGGAAAAGGCAGGAGAGTGGTGGTTGCAGAAAAACATGCCCTCCTATCCCCCTGAGGGCCCAGCCCAGCCACCTGCAGTACCAGCACATCCAGAGTTGTAAACAATAAGGCTGTATGTACAAACAATTCTGCTAAGTCCTCTGAGCCTGCAAACATATCTTAACTGCTTCACATTCATTATGTTGTTTGAGTGCAATGTAGGTGAGCTGGCTAGAGCAGCAGAGCCAGGCCTCTCCTTGGCTACAGAAAATCATGGTCTTAGATACGTGCACTTGCCTTTTTTCTGCTAAGGAGCTAGATACACAGGGAAACAAATGAGTCTAGTCCAGCGAGGGCAAGTTTTTGTGGTGAGCTCAGTTTTTACCTGTGCTTAGAGGGATAAGCTTAGAGTCTAGATTCTTCTGATCAGAAGCTACTTGAATCTGAGGCAGTAGGAAACTACCTCCTTGGAAAGAGAAGGGAGAGGCTCCTTTTTGTCCCTGCCCTGAGTATCCATTCAGCCTTACTGCTTTGCAGGGCTCCTCTAAACAAACCCCAAGGTAGCCATCAGTTTCGAGACCTGGCAGAGAGTAGCCAGCTCTGGCCGAGAAGGCACCAAACCCTGCCCTTTGGTCTGCCTTCATACTTTTACACATGAGAAACAGAGTGACCCAGAGTTCCAGGTTGTCCCTGGTTTCTGTCCTTGCCTTGTGCTGTTCCTTTAAGTGATGGCTCTCCCACAATTCCGGTTTGGAGCTCCCCCATCTTTCCATTCTCAGGTGTTTCTGTCCTCAGCTGCCCCAAAACCCTCTCTGCAGTTCGCAAGGGGGTGGTGTTGCTTCTGACAAATGATGTGCACATTAAGAATCTCTAATCTCAGCTGCATGTATTCTTGCCAGTACCTAGAGCACAGATATATGTCATTTGGGCTGGGCAGGACCTGTGCCAGCTGTTCCCAGACCCTCCACACCCCCAGTGCCTGTGTGGTAAGACCTCGCATGGAGGCAGGCAGGCACTGTCCTCTGCATGGAATGTGCCTGTAAGGGATGGGTTGTTGAACATTCCGATGTGATATGCTTGTCAGGGAACCACAGGAGCTCTTCAGAGACCCTTTCAGTTTGCTCCTACCCCCAGTGTGCTAGATACAGTGTTGAGAATGAGGAAACTGAGCCAGTCCGTGATCCTTCCTGGAGGTCCTTGAGTTATAACACAGCCATGCTGAGGAGCTGTGTGCAGTCAGAGACCAGCGCACTCGTGGGAACGCATGTGGGAAACTGCCTCTGCCTTTGAACTCTCTTGAATGACCAGATTTTGTAACATAGCCAGGGCCAGGGTATCCAAACAGGTTTTTCATGCTGCAAGAAACAGCCATAGGCAGGAACTTGCTGATGTCAGCTTATAACTGCCCCAATCCACATAAATGTCCATTTTTTTCCGAGTAAAAATTAGAGCTATGTGCCCATTTAGTCCTTTTTGCTATCTCTCCCCTCCCTCAATTTAACAGTGAAACTGGCAACTCTCAGATGGGGCTTTGCCCCACAGGCCCTGCTTGGCATTGGTCATGCTCACTCTCTCTCTCCCCTCTCATGAAGGCATACATATAAAAAAACACTTCTAGCCGGGCTCGGTGACTCAGCCTGTAATCCCGTGCTTTGGGAGGCTGAGGTGAGTGGATTGCCTGAGCCCATGAGCTCGATACCCGCCTGGGCAACTTGGCGAGACCTCATCTCTACAATAATTCAAAAAATTAGCCGGGCGTGGTGGCGTGTGCCTGCAGCTCCAGCTACTTGGAAGGCTGAGGTGGAAGGATAACTGGAGCCCAGCAGGTCGAGGCTGCGGTGGCCGGAAGCATGCCACTGCACTCCAGTCTGGGCGACAGAGTGAGACTCCAACTCAAAAAAAAAAAAAAAAAAAAAAAAACACTTCTGTAGACAGTCGACTTGTAGGCCTGGGTTCATTTCCTTTTGAACAAGTCTTGACAACTTGGTTAGCAGTTTAAGCAGGAGATTATTCTTAAGTCTGAGGAGTACTCAGAACTCTTTTACTGTGTAAAGTATTGAGTTGTTATCATTCATAGTAGAACTAAGAGTTGAGAATTAGATACCCTTGGTACATTGTTCAAGTGAGGAATCTGATACATTGAGTATGTAAATTGAGCTGTAAGATTTATTGTACTCTGTAGTAAACCAATACATCTCTATTTTATTAAAACACTTATTCTTCAGTATTAAAAGACTCTGGGAAATGTCTCTTGGGGTCCCCTTCCATTGTACACATAACCATTAAGTGGGAGACATAGGACTGAAAGCATTTGTCTTTTTCCCTTTCTTTCTTTAAACCATAGCCCAGGAGAGGAGAGAATAGAAAGCAGGAGAGAATATGCAGGCACCTTTACTGACAGGCGTTAAAAGCTAATGAGCAGAGAAAGTCTGTTTAAGCTGGGTTATAGTTCTACCTGGCTATCTCAGACCAAAAACAGAATAAAAACTTAAAGAACTCTGAGCCTGCTCTCAAACTCTTTCGTCCTTTAGAAGTATGTTTTTCCCCTTAGCTTCAGCCCTTTTTGGTCTAACTTTATTCATAGGAGTACTTCTGTAGGTAGAAGTTTCTAGAAGTACACCAGGGTTAGGGCTGCCCCCTTCAGGGAGAGGGTGCTGGGAGCTTGCGGACAAATGGGGACCAAAAGAGGCATGGAAAGTGTCCCTTGTCTCTGAATCCCTTGCAGATAGCTACACAGGACTGTGCTTGCTTTCTCTTGACTCTGTCCACACACCACTGTTGTCCTGTGGCCCACTTTTGACACATTTGGAAGTAAATTGCAAACATCTGTAAACTTTCCCCAAGATGAAAGTGAATATTACGTCTATTTTCATTTAAAACGCTCTACTTTTCTTTTGATGTAAAATTTAAATATAATGAAATATCTTAAGTGTTCATTTGCTGAGTTTTGACAAATAAATATGCCTGAACAGCCCAAAATTCTATCAAGATACAGAACGTTATCATCACCTTCAGCTGCATATTTTGAATTTAAACATTTTAATCATTGTTTTCATTTTAAAATAATTTTAAACTTTAACAAGATTCCAAAAATAGTACAAAGATTTTCCATTTACCCTTCATCCAGCTTCCTCAAACATTAGCATCTTATGTAACCATAGGCCAAGTATCAAGATTAGGAAACTAATACTGATACAATAGTATTAATAATCCATAAACCTTATTCCCATTTTAATCGCTTGTTCCACTGATGTCCTATGTCTGCCTCAGGGCCCTGTCTGTATTCACCCCTACATTTAGTTGTCAGATTTCCTTAGTCCCCTTCCACCTTAGATAGTTCCACAGTCTTTCTTTGTCATGACTTTGATTTTTTTTTTTTTTTTTTTTTTTTGAGTTGGAGTCTCACTCTGTCACCCAGACTAGAGTGCAGTGGCATGCTCCCGGCCACCGCAGCCTCGGCCTGCTGGGTTCCAGTGATCCTTCCACCTCAGCCTTCCAAGTAGCTGGAACTACAGGCGTGTGCTACCACGCCTGGCTAATTTTTTTGATTTATTGTAGAGATTAGGTCTCGCCAAGTTGCCCAGGTGGGTCTCAAACCTGCGGGCTCAGGCAGTCCACTCACCTCAGCCTCCCAGAGCGCTGGGATTACAGGCTGAGCCACGGGAGCCCGACTGACTCTGATGTTTTTGAGGAGTACTGGCCATTGATGTTTTAGAAAGTCTCTTAACTTAGATTGTCTGATATTTTCTCATGACTAAACTTGAGTTCTGCATTTTTGGCAAGAATCCCACAAAAGTGCTGCTGTGCCCCTTCCAGGGCCTCTGAGGAAAAAACACATGAGGTCAGTGTGTCTTATCACGGGTGGTACGAACTTTGATCTCTGGCTGTAGTAGTGACTGTCAGGTTTCTCCATGGTAAAGTCACTGTCCTTTGCTTTAATTGGCAAGTATATTTTGGGGAGGTACTTTGAAACTAAGTAATTATTCTGATTGTTATTGTACTTTTATCTATTAATTCCAGCTTCCCTTGATGAAACTTACATGAAACAATTATTACTATGGTATCTGAGAAATGGTGACTTAAAAATATTCTTTTATATATATTTATTGGAATTCTACCGTAAGCCAAGTTCTCTTCTCCATTTTATTCAGTTATATTGATGTGGACTCAATACATACTTGTTTTGATCTTTGGATTGTAATCTGTTAGCATTATTTTTTTCTTCTTTGCTCAAATTGTTTGAGATTTGGCCTTTAGAAGCCTCTTGAAGTTGTGCCTGTGCCCTTTGGATTTGGCCCTGTCTTTCTTCAAGTGTTTCCTTACTGTCTTTGCACTTCAGGAGGGTCAGGTTCGTCCTTTACATTCTCTTCTCTACCTGGAACTGACCATTTCTCCAAAGACCACTGTTCCCTGTTATTGGAGAGTCCCACTTTTTTTTTTAATGTGTGACCTAAGCAGGGACTCTTAGTATAGAAACCCTGTGGCAGCCTTCTCTCTGGACTCTGTTCAGTGTCCTGTGTGTGATCTCTTAAAAGAGAGGAAAAGTAAACCCTTGGGCTTTAATTTTTCAGCTGTGGTCAAGAAGTCAAGGACGTTCTTTGACCTGAAGTGAGTCATACGTGTCCTATTTAGCCTTCATCTTTTGATGCTGCAGTTAGGGTTAGGAGTTGTTAGGAATTGTTATTTGAGGTTCAAAGTCTTAAAGGGACCTACTCTCCAGACATCAGAAAGCAGAGGGCTAGAAGCTGTGATGGGCCCAGCCCTTGAGACGATGACGCCTGCTGAGCTTAGAGGCCTGAATTTCCTAAGAGCAGAAACTGGAGAGATTATATAAAGGCAGGAGCCAGCTATTTGATCCCTGCCTCCTGAGGGAGATGACCTGGAGCCCAGGCTCGCTGGGGACTGTGGGCTGAGCCCCGGCAGCTTGCTGCTTCTTAGCCCGTTGTTAACCAGCATTGGCTCTTGTGTTTTGGAGGAAAGTGCTCGGAAGCAGCAAATGCTTGCCTGGTGTCACTTTTACAGCCTTTCAGTGTAAGTAAGACATAGACTGAAGTCAGGGCAGGGTCAGGTAATATCCTGAGTTCCCTTCCATTGTTGAGACCTGTAATCATCATACAGCTTTAAACATTCTACATCCCACCATACCTGAAGACAAAAATAACAGAATAAACTCCCTGTAGGTTTTGTTTGAGTGCTGTGAAGCACGTTGGCCCAGATGTGTTTTATAGGGATTGGTGATCCCACAGCACAGAGCTGTGAACAAAGAATGTCTATCAAAAGCTGGGACATTTAGAACCATGGTTTGGCCAGTGCCCTGTCATCGTTTCTGTAGGTGTACCGTGACTACCATTCCCCAGAAGGACCATCTATCAAGCCTACAAGTTCACTCTCAGCCCTAGAGGCTACATCCTACCTTGACCTGGCTTATGTTATCATAGCAAGACCTGCATTGCCCATCAGCTTCTGTTTGAACCTGCTGGTAGGCAATAGATTCCTCACCACCTCTGCTGTTTCTAAAGGAAGGCTTTTTTGGGATGTCAGAGAGGACTATTTTTGATGGCAGCATTGGTGAATGGTGGTTTGAAGGTCTATCATTACTTTTATAATGGTATTATCTCTGGTAAAACGTGTTGAAAGCATAGGTTGGAGGAAATGAAGAATGAATGGAAAGCGTGAGGTTCGCAGAGTGATGTGGTCTTGAAATCACACAATGAACTTTTCCCAGGAATGCTAGTGAAAGCGGGAGCCTAAGCCTGTCATGGATTAATTCACATTGATTAAGTGGAACCGTGTGGGGCTTTTGTTAGAGGACTTTTTTTTTTTTTTTTTTTTTTTTTTTTT